AATGATGATGGCAACAAATGTACAAATGTGCTTGACACAATGGTTGGATGGATGGATTGTGATGAGAATTGTACGAGCCCCCAATAAAATGATTTAAAAAAAAGAATAGGAATTCCAGAATACTTAATGGTGGTTTTGCTGAATCTGTACATAGACCAAGAAGCAGTCATTTAAATAGCACAAGAGGAAACTGCATAATCAAAATAAAAAAGATGTGTCCGGGCTATATCCTTTCACTTTGCTTATTCAGTCTGTACGCTAAGTAGATCATCAGCAAAGCTGGACTATGACAAGAACACAACAACCAAATTGAAGGAAGATTCACTGACCACCTAGAACAACTTTTCTTCCTGGAAGCAAGACTTTACAGTACTTACTGGTGAAAATGAAAGACTAGAGCCGTCACTACCGATAAGACCTAACGTCACTGACCGATAAACAACACCTTTCGTACCTGAATCCGCCATCGAGGCTGCGGAAGCAGCAGTCTAGAAATCAAATAATGCATTGGACAGCTCTGTCGCGGCTGGAGACACAAACACCGTCTTTGAAACACGAAAACACCAAGAGGTCACGTTTTGAAGCCTATGGTGCGGTGCGCCTGACCTAAGCTCTGGAATTTTCCATCGCCTACATGCATGCGACAGCTGGACGATTTAGAAGGAAGAGAGAAGAAGAATTGATGTTGTTTGGGGACCAAGAATATAAAATAACTGCCCGAAGAAGAGACACATCTGCCTTGGAAGAAGTCCAGACAGAATGCTCTTTCGAAGTAAAGGTGGAAAGACTTTATCTCACGGATTTTGGACACGATTCAGAAGTAATCAGTCCCTGGAGAAAGACACCATGCTTAGTAAAATAGAGGAAATCTATGAAGACCCTCCCAGAGATGGCCTGACACGATGGCAGCAACAGTGGACTGGAACACAGGAAGGGTGGTACAGACCGGGCCAGGCTCTGTCCCGTTGTAGAGAGGGTTGCTAATCAGCACTGACTCACTGGCAGGAAACAAATCCAAGTGTATATAGTCTCCCTAATACGTCAATAATATGCATAATTATCATTTACTTAGCACTTATTGTATCCCATCATCTTCTAAGCATGTTGCTTCTATTATTTAATTAGTTCGTTTATCTATTCTTATGCTCATTTTCAGATGAAAGCACTGAGATATTAAATAACATGTCATTTTTGCTGCTGTTGAAGCCAGGATTTAAACTTGGGATTTATGACATTAGCTCCAGTGGTCTTAACCATTAAGAAAAATACTAACAAACACTTATTTGGCTTTTTAAATCTAAGAATGACTTTTTTTTTAAATGCCCAGTATATATTAACTCAATGGCACGAGTCAATTCTGGTTCATAGCAACCCTGTAGGACAGAGTACAACTGCCCCCGTGGGTTTCAGTGGCTGTGAATCTTTACGAAAGCAAAAAGCCTAATTTTTCTCCCTCAGAGCAGGCAGTGGGTTCAAACTGCGGACTATGCAGTTAGCAGTCCAACACATAGGCCACGAGGCCACCAGAGCTTCCCCCAGTCGATTGGAGCTCATTAATCTTCAAAACCACTCTATATGCTATCATCCAGTTTTATGCATGAAAGAAAACGAGGCACAGAGAGTTTCAGCAACTTACCCACGATCGCAGTAAATGGCAGAGCTGAGATTTGAACAAGCGTTGTCGGGCTCCACATTGAGCCCTGGTGGTGCCGTGGTTACAAGTCGGGCTGCAATCCCTGCATGGGCAGCAGTTAAAACTGCCAGCAGCCCCGAGGGAGACAGAGTGGGCCTTCTATCCCCGTCAACATTTACAGTCTTGGAGATGCACAGGGACATCATCAGGAGTCAGCCTGGACTCCATGGCAGTGAGCTGGATGATTTTTGGTGTGTTTTGGTTTGGGTTTTGCCTCCAAGAAGCCCTGGTGGCATCATGGTTATGTACTTTCCTGCTAACTTCAAGGTTAGCAGTTCAAAACCACCAGCCGCTCTGTGGGAGACAGAGGGGGTTTGCTACTCCCGTCAAGATTGAAAGTCTGGGAGACTCACAGGGGTAACCCTGCCCTTTAGGGTCCCCATGAGTTGGAACCAACTGAATGGCAGTGGGTCTGTTTGAGTCTGGCTCCAGAATCGGTGTTCTCAGCACTTCACGACAGCACCTTTCTCGCCAGATTGATACAGCGCTATCGAAACGGTATGGCTTTTCTCAGCTTGTGATAAAAGAGTGTTGTTTTAAGGGTTCGTGCTCCCAGGTTTCAATGTAGGGCTTTGATCTTTTATCCCATCACCTTGGCCTGAAGCCACGATGACTTTCTCCTAACTTTTCACCTTTGACCTTAGGCTCCCTGTTTTGTAAGCTATACAGGATATGTTTTTCCAAAGCAAGGATTAAAACTGACTCAGACTGACTTTATGAGGAAACCAGGCCAGGAAGCAGTTCAACATCAGAGAAGTGGCTGGCCGTAGAGATGACATTTCTTACAAAGAGCCTGGTGCTCCTTTGACTGCCCCATGAATGTGAGCGCCCGTGGACCGTCTCAGGCATCAGGCACCCTTGTTTTGGACTTAGTAGCATTTGAACATTTGTGCTAGTGGCACACTGATCCCTAGTCTGGCCTGAGTTGTGGCAAGGACGGTCCGAATAGGAAGGGCCTCCGTGACATCACTGCCATTTTAGCAAGGAGAACGACCCCGTGCACCAAGCAGGAATACGATGTTCTTGCCCCCAGAAGTTGAACGAGCAAACTCCTTTCACAGGCCTCCTTCAGCGGCAAAGGAAGATGACTCCCTCCAAAGCGGTGCTCTCAGAAAGGACCCTCGCAAAGCCAAAGCACGTTGTTCAATGTGGGAAACAAAAACCAAAGTAACTCTCTATGTAGATCGACAACAGCACAGCTCCCCATGGCCAGATGTGCATCCAGAAAGAAGAAACAAGAAAACTTAAAGTTGTTAAAAAAAAAAAATCCTTCTGTCCAGATGTGTGGCTAAGTGTCTTTGTGAACAAGCGTTTCCTTTGTCAGAAGTAGGTGGTGCCCAGCGACCCTTACTGAGTATGTTGATAAAAGATTTAATAGGAAAAAAAATCCTGATTAAAAGTGGGGAAATGCAGAAAAGAATGTCAAATTTTCATAGACTCCAGACTTTCTGGAGCCAAGGGGACTAGGTGAACTCCTGTAACGGATTGCCCTGATACACTCTTTAAACCTTAAACCAGAAATATCCCCTGAAATCATCTTAAACCTAAATAAACCAACCAACCAACCAAACAAATTCACTGCCAGTGAGTCAATGTGTCTCATGGTGTCCCTATAGGACCCTATAGAGCTTCCCCTATGGGTTTCCAAAACTATAACACATTACAGGACTAGAAAGCCTAAGTTAAACTAATAAAAAAGAAATGCGTGCCTTGAGCATTATGCACAGTTTAAAATTACCTATATAGCAGGGGTGCTCAATACATTGATCGCGATCTACTAGTTGATCGCAAATGTAGTGTGGGTAGATCGCATGGCATTAAATAAAACCAGATGTAAGCCTATCATCAATCCCGTTACTTAACTGATATACAGCACAGCCAATCAGATGCAATCTTAGGTGTCAAACAAAACTGACAAGCTAAGTTATTGCCTATTTTTAGACCTTGGTTTTTTAAACATAAGAAAGGGTATTAAAATGAGTGGGGGAACTGGACCAAATAAGAAGACAGAAACATATCACTTTCATATGGAATGGAGATTTGACACTACAAGCCAGCATTCAGCTGAAGTCCAGAGTGCACGAACAGTTCTGGAACTTACTCCCAGAGGGAAAGCACCCAAACATGAGAAAATGTGCTACCTCCTTGACTGCATTCTTCGGCTCTACTTATTTATGTGAGTCAGCCTTTTCCCACATAAAGATCATGAAGTCCAAGTACCGTTCCACCATAACTGATGATCCTTTAGAAGTGGGCTTGAGGCTGGCTGTCAGCAGCTACTGTCTGGACTATGCAACCCTGGCTCATTCCATTCAGTGCAAGACATCAGAGTAAACTCAGGTCATGACCAAAAATGTACATAGTTCATTGTGTTGTGTTGTGCGACATGGACTCATGCAGTTATGCATGGTACATAAACATATATTATCCATATGAAGAACTCCTAATGCATTTATAAATAAATAAATAAAATATATGCTTCACATTTTTGTAGTTGGTAGATCATTTTGACTTGATCATTTTATAAGTAGCTCGCATGCTGAAAAAGTGTGTGTACCACTGCTATATAGGATCAAAGTGATAAAAAAAACTTGCAAGATTAGCTAGGGCCCTTAGGTACAGCTAGCTTATGTTAATGAGGGAGGACAATTGAGGAAAGGACAGTGAGAATGGTTGCCTTGCTTGAAGAATATAATCACTGAATAAATCAGAATATAATCAAAGAATAAATCACATAAAATATATACTTTCTTGTGGAAGTGTTACTGTATCGTCACTTTTGATTGCTTATAAAAACATTGCTTTGAATTGCACAAAAGTTGTCTTTAAAATTGACAACTCTCAGGAGACAGAGCTTAGAACTAAGTATCTGCCTAAGTAATTCCTTACAAATAATTAGGCTTCTATTTCTCCACAGATGAAAAAGAAATCTATGAAGAATTACATTATTTCAGTGGGGTGTTTAAAAATCTCTCATAGGAAAATAGGTTTACACATTTGTCTCTAGTCAGTTAAATCTACCTTCTTCCCATTGCAGACATCAACCGGATCACAGAATGTCCAGAGGTTTTAAATCACAGTACCTAGGCCACAAGCCAGTGTGGAAGTGTTTCCATGAATTTATTTTGTGTAGCATTCTACTGCTGTATCAAAGTATCAGAAATGTATGGGGCTACATTGTTTGGAACAGTTTTGGTCTTAGAAAAAAATTCCCACACTTATAAATAAGCAGTGATTTCAAGCATGTTTAAAACAAAAATAATAAGCAAATGCATGTCCCAATCCAGGTAATCCAGAATCCATTTCACGTTCCATAGACTTTCTTGTTGAGCAGGAAAATAAGAAGGTTCACATTCACTTCAACCTTAGCAAGCATTTTCATGACAACCCCTCCTTCATCCGGCATCTGAAGTAGATCCTGAATATTGAGTTGCATCTGGTCCATCTACCCAGGAACTTGGCTCTGATGTCGAAGATGCCCACACCTTCAGTGGACATGATATCAAATGTGACATTCTTAAACTGGGTGGTCTGGACCTCATCTGTGCCCAGCAGGACGCCCTTCTTCTGCAGCCTCCTGCGGTGTACTTCACCAGCTTCGCGCGCTTTGGTCCTTTGCCTTCTCCTTTCCCATCGAGCTGAATCGATCGCCCAGTATTCTTCCTATTTATGTTGACTAAGCAAGTCTTTATGTAGGTGTTATAATAATTAATGTGTTCTGCAAAAAAAGGATGACTTCTCGTTACGCACTCTCAAGGTCTGCTGAAGTTTTGA